TTCTTATCTCTTTATTCGTTGAATATTTACTTAAACACAGTAGCTATCATTTGCCAATAGCGTTTTGATTAATTGTTTATAATTACTATATTATGATCAAAAATGGACATTGATCCTGAAAATAGGAGTAAGTCTATAGTCCTTTGATATCACACTCAGGCTGAGGGAGGGTTTGTTTGATCACTCGTTTTGAAACGACTCTCTATCATTTTATCACCATACTTCGGTGCTTGCTGGAGGACATTATAAGCCATATAATGGTATTATATTAGTAGCAGATTATCGGGCTGGATTTATAAAAAGGTTAAAAGAAAATATGTGAGAAAAAAGTGAGATAATTTTTTTCAAATTTATATCTTTTATATAAATAACAACTGTTTTATACTGAAAAGTAATATTTCTAATATTTATCACATACTCTAATTATGAACCCCAGCAGTGCTATTTACGATGTTTTTATTTAATGAAAATTATTCAATGTTATCGTCTTCTATATTGATATCATCATCCTCATCTTCATTTTGTTCTTTTTCGTGAATTGATTCATAGTCTTTCACGTTCTTCAAATTGTTGATAGATGCTTCTAATTAAGGATCATCGTTAATAAGCATATTACAATATTTATGAGCATGTTCAATCATATTTCTGACCATTTCGGTCGATATACCTTCATGATCACCTCCATCACCGTAGAAGCCTTTCTTTGTTTGTTCAATTAATTGTTGAACAGTTCTAGAAGACGTGAATTGTTTAGCAACATAACGTTTTACATAAGACCACACTAATTCTATAGGCTGAAGTTGAGGACTATATGGTGGAGTTAATATGACATAATGAAAGTCAGGTACATCGACTTTTGCAGCTAATGATTTTTGTTCGAATAATTTCTCCAATAATGTTTTTTGAAGATCAGGATAGTGTTTGATCCAACTGTCTATAAATGCTTGTAATTCTTCTTTATAAGGACCTGCTGGACCATTCAGGTGCCATTCATTAGCTTTGAACTTTTTCGCTTGTCCATCTCGAATGATTACAATATTGTGTACTTTTTTTGAAAGGAGAAGATTAATCATATCGATCTTTGACATTGATTTGACGTTAATATAATGTTCACCTTGTTCTTTATGATATGGAGTATTATTCAATATCAGAATCATTCTCTTCTGATGACCATATTTAGCTTCAAATGCAGGAAACAAATATTGTTTCACCCACAAACGAAAATTATAACCATCCATATTAGAATGAAAATCGCCTGAGGGATTTTTTGCTTCATATATTAATTCGGCAGAAATCGTTTTATTTGTTAAAACATCGAAATGTCGAAGAAGACCATCACTAGTAATAGCATGTACTATTATAAGTCTTTTACCAACTCCAGTACCAGTAAGAATATTTTTGTTTGTACTGTCTACATACCATCCATAATGAATATGATGACCAGTGTTAACATACGATTCATCCATGTAACAAACTATGGCTTCTTTATTCTTTTCCAAATTCAGAGCAGCGGCATATTTAACCAGAAATTGTCCAATACGTTTGATACGATTAGCATCTTCTGTTAACTTCACCGAATCTTTTAACAAGCCATATGATAACTTCATTTTGTCGTGCATAAGATAATATATCGGCCAATAGCCTATGTATTGCTGATGTGTATTAACGATCGCTTGTTGTATATCTTTAACTGTAGTAGTTTTACCTTCCGCATGACGATCCATAATAGTACTAATAATGAAGTGAGGTAAAGATACAAATAATTCCAATGATTGTTGACCTTGTGATCCACCTCTTGTACCTGAGTCAACATATATTTCTCGATATTTATGCCAATGTGCTACCAATGCACCTAATACAGAAGCACTACGACCTAAATATCGGCTAGCTATAGTAATTGCTTCTGTTTGTGTTAAATTGACATCCTCTAACAATAGATTAAATATGACTAACAATGCAGTAGCATCATCACGACGAGTTGATGGAACACCTTGATGCGACCATTTTATATCATTTATCCATTTTATCAATTTATCTGTTTCTTCTCGACGTGCAGCACGTTGTCTTCTTGCATTTGCCATTATATCAATTGATGATGATCGTATTTTCCTCTTACGACCAGCACCTGCACGAAAAGCACCATGACCATAATCACCCCCATGACTAGAATCACCATTGTCAGGATCAATGTCCATTTTTGATCATAATATAGTAATTATAAACAATTAATCAAAACGTTATTGGCAAATAATAGCTACTGTGTTTAAGTAAATATTCAACGAATAAAGAGATAAGA